AAATCCGAACAAAAATTTCACGAAAACCCGAAGGAATTCCCGAACGTTCAAACAATTCTCCAGTGCAAAATTCGTTTATCTCACAAATCAGTCGAAGAAATGGCGTAGTAATGAAGCCGATAGTTCTTGTAACTTGAGATTCTCAACCAAAATTGGGATGGTAGCAGTTCTCACGAACTGTTGTTTTGCGATGACGCTACTCTGTTGCGTGGACCCAATCACTGATAGATTCATTATTGTGCGGGAAACTTTTTATTCTTTTTTTTTGGAATGTGGGTAGGGAACCTTGTCTCAGTGCTCATTGAGAAAACAATTCATATTCCTCGAATCCATCTTTGTAGACGAATTTAGGAAATTAAGTTCAATGTTTACTAGTTATAGAAGTCCTGCTCAAATTAACTTTATTTTCCCAAGAGTTCAAAGCAGTCCTTGATTTGGTTCCCCTCAGTGTACACAACACAATGCTTTGATGCTTCATACTGATAATGGATTAAATGTATAATAGGATTTAGCGAAGTCCGGATAAGCTTATTTGATCAGAACGCCACCGTTGTGATTGGAAGTGTTTCGAAATAAATTCAATCTCTTCCCACTTCATCGTCGTCGACTTTCATTACTTAAATGGATGTTGATTAGGAGAAGGTCGAAATCATCAGAGAAAAGGCATTATAAATGTACGATCTTCTGGTTTTTGGTTTCAACCTTTCAACCTTATGCAAAGATGTGTTCTCCGATTTGAATGCGCCCTACTCATATCCATTGCTTACTTGGCTATTAGACACGAAAGAAAAGCGCATTTGACTAACGCATTTGGGTACATACAGGGGGAGCATTTGTGATACCATTGAGATTATGTACTATTTTAAGACCTTGTAGATATTTTTAAAAGCGACTATTGTGTAAGTAATCGGTTAGCTGTATGGTATGTCGGCTATAATTTGGTTATAGCTGATTCTTTTATCGCAATTGGTGCAAAAAGTGTGTTGTTTCACAAGAATGTTGAGTCATGAACAAAATTAGGTTTATTCATAGCCCAGCATTCTTGTGAAACATCCGCAACACGGACTGCGACGTTAAAGCGGCAGTTAACAAGCAAGTTTGTGTGTTGTGATGGCACGGAGGTATATCACCGGAAGACGAAGTTTTAAACTCGACAAGAACATTGGTTTGTAGACACTAGCGAAACGGTTCCCGTGACACGCAACACCGGTGAAATCACAGATCATAGAAACGTTAACAAATGCAACATCCCGACGATATGAACTTTGTTGCTTTTGTTAATTTCACGAGTTTGCCCAACTTCTCGAGGCAATTGTTATGAGAATTCATTTAAGT